TGGGTACTAACTAGACAGTATTACACCTAAAGAAGTATTGATATCGTTCGGTTCCTTATTTCACGTTGTACCCAGTATCCAATAAAAAAAGATCAACAAAAGTTAATCCCTTCCACTCAAAATCTAATGTATGAAAGCATTTCTAAGAAAATGGAAAAGGATTATCTGTGTGTGAAATAAAATGGTACAAACCTCGTAAACAAACATATTGACTGACTTGTTGTCAGGTACAGAATCTCTCCCCTTGCAAGGAATCTTCCCCCAACAAGAACAAAGATCACAGAAAATTAGTAGAGTTCAACCCTACAATTAGAAAGTACAATTAAGATAACATGCCATATTCCAACACTCACCTTAACATACTTGATACCCTCTTTATTCAAATCTGTTGTTGTATAATAACGGTAAGAATTTGTCAAATCAATCACCAAACCGAGCTGAAAATTTAGTTCAAAATAATCTGTTATTTCAATTAGGTAAAATGAGCAAGAACAAGAAATCCCTTATTACAATATTTTGTCTTTTTGTTCTCCATATACATAAGAACAACTGGGCATGGAGATGCCTTTCATTTTCATCATGTTACGGTTTTCAGTGGAGAACATTTTGTAATCCATCCCTTTATCAAAAAAAAAAAAAAAAAAATTGCAGTTTTTCTTTTTTCTCTTTCTCTGGTTTTTAAATATGTGCATGGATACTTACTTTCCTTCCCCAAACTCTCTGCTGATGGATCACTTGCTTAAACGAGTATCTTTTACCAGGTGTTATACAGTCATTGAAGGATTCACCCAGAGGAACCTTGGAAGGAATCATGCAGCATATTTCTTGACCAAACGCAGGGCAATCCAACCAACCTAGAGATAAAAGAGGTAAACAAAAATTGCTTAAACATAAAGCATAGAAAAGAAAGTTTCTCGACAGGAATGTTTAGTTCGCATGGTCTACGATTTAGCATGAAAACTTAACTTAAAGCCTCAAATATAGGCATGAAAAATACCCAGAAAAAATAAATGGATACGTAAAACTTTCATGAACCTCCCTTATTTTTGACCAGTTGATAACTCAAATATTTACAAATAGGTACATGCAAAGGAGCCATAACCTTTGTAAAAAAGAAGGAAACAATGAAATCCAAAAACTAAGAACCTCACCTGGGGGAAGCCTGTTTCTATCATATTTTTGGTTTTTAGCAGGGTAAAACTGATCCCGTGCAGGTTGCTGGTATTCATGCACCGGTCTCTCAATAGAGCGATCTCTCTTCAACCGTCTTTTTCTTTCTTCTCGCTCCTAACACAAACGAATAGATGCACAATCAAGCAGGGCTGCTCATCTAGGTATCAATGTGTATGCATTATTACTGTTCGAGTGCATGCAAGTACAATACACTGGTGCACTCACAAAAAGACTAAGTTTCCTCCTTCAAGTCATATCCTTTTCTTTGTATTGCTACATTCTCTCATTTTTTCTTAACGGGTATTGGCCAAAAAAAAAAAAGAAGAGAAAGAAGAAGTCTACCCGAATATCAAATCTTACTAGAGAACATAGAAAACCAAGATAAAATTCTCCTCTATCCTCTACTTCATATAAAAAGTTCTAATGAGGTGTCGAAAAAGAAAGAACAGATAGGAAGTTATAACAGAATATTCGCACACAAACCGTCCTTTTGTACTCTATTAACAAAAGTTTCTTTCTAGTTAAAATGAAAATACGGGCAGAAACACACATACCCGCCGTGCTATACTGGCACCGGACTCTATGTGTTCCTCTGGAGCACTATACACCTCTTCATGCCTCTCAAACGTCTCTTCATCCTCTTCAGGCACCGGCGAGGCATTTAAGTCCATGGAAACAATCATTCAACGACCACCAAGCAACATTTACTCCAAACCTCACAATTCCTCAAACACTGGAAAGTCGTGAACTTCACTGGTAACCCAATATTCAAAACAACCCTGCAAGTCCAAAAAAAAACCCAAACAACACGAAATTACAACCATTTCGACTACAAGCTTCTCAAGTAAAAAACAACAACAACGAACCGCATTACTCGCAGAACGAAACCCGCAACCCTAGCTAATCAAACAACCTGAAGGGAAGCAAAATCCCGTACTCCCGACGCTTCTATTCTGCAAATTGGCAGCACTTAAGCTAAACAAAAAAAAAAAAAAAAAAAAAAAAAAAAAAAAAAAAAAAAAACACACACACACACACATACGCAACAACCCAAGAATAAAAGAACAAAAAGAGAAAGAAAAACAACGAAAGAATCAAACCTCGGCAGGCAATTGCAATCGACTGCCAATCCCTGCCGAAACTACGATCCACCAACGCAAGGTTGAAGAAGACAGTGGCAGAAAGCAAGAACGCGAAGACGCCGGAAAGCAGAAATCCAGCAAGCCGTAGTCGAAAATAATTTCAGAGAAAACAGTGGCATGGAAAATCAAAGACAAGAAAACCTACATAATTGACCTCACCGGCCAATAGAAGTCGCATTCGAAACCCTAAGAAGAGAAGAGAAGAGAAATGAGAGTGAAAAAAATAGAGAGAGGAGGGAAAGAAAGAAAGAAAAAGAAAGAAAAAGAAGATGAAACTAATCAATGTCACGGGCAAGAGAGAGAGACGAACGTGGGAGCAAAAAGATGAACGAATCAAAAATTATTTATAATTATATCATTTTTTCCATTTTTTTTTTCCTTTTATTCTAACAATAAATAGAATTTTACCCAACAAATTAAAATCCAAAATTACTTGTAATAATTATAAATAATTGAATTAAATTAAAATTTGAAGGGTGGACTCTCTACAAATAAATAAATAAATGCCTGACATTTATTTTAATAAATTAAAAATATACTTTAATCACATCAAATAAAATAACTAAATATACATTGTGAACACTGTGAGGAAAATTACTAAATTTGTAACTATTTATCAAACTAAAGTAATTCTGTAAATATTCGTGGTAAATAGGTGATGTGTGACAGTTCATTTAATTGTATTGGGGTTATTATTATTTTTTTTTTAATAAATTAAATATATTTATGGATGATAATAATGAAGTTCAAAATTATTTTAGAATAATATGTAATCTGAATAATATTACACCAACCTGTAGACCTCTGTTGCATGAATAATTTCATATATTGTTCAACAAAATAAATATATATATATATATAATAATAATAATAATAGTAAAAATAAAGTCTTATATTTTTGTAAAAATAATAAATATTGGTATCATCTTCATCCTCATCACCTATTTCGTACTCCGTTCGGCAAAAAAATTTATTTATTTTTGTGAGAATCCATTTGTTATTTTTTCTAAAAATAGTTGTTTAAAGTTTTTTATTTTTTAATATAATATTTATTAAAAAATTAACAAAACAAATCTTAATAAAATCAATCTATTTCATAATCAAACGTATATAATATTACAACATAGTTTTTAATAATAAAAAAAAAAAGATGTACGTATTTAGTTTAAATATTACCATTAGAGTCCCAAAATTAAATATTTTTTAATATAGCCAAATAGTATATATATATACACACATACATGCACGTGTGTGTTGAAAATATATTTATATTAAGCGGGTGGGGATGAGGACAGAGAATATAATCTCGTCTCTGACCCTATTTATTTTAATGAAAAAAATAAATTTTCCCACTCCCTCCCTCATTCTCTGTCTAAATAGAAAATCTCTTTCCCGTTCAAATAAAATAGATATCTCTTTATTGGAAGACTAAAATTATATCGGGAAGTTTAATAATTTGAGTATCATTTGGAAATAATTAATGAAAATTGTACTATTTAAGTTCAAATTCAGGCATTTTAATTAAATATGCACAAGCTATTACCTGGCATGTTACATTTATTGCATAACGATTTAATTTTGGCAACATGGGCCAACTCCGAACGAAAAATTATTGGTAATTTTTGAAAATGGAGTTAAGAAGGATAGTAAATTTTGATACAGAAATTTTATCTTGCTTCGTATTATGACAAACCCAACAATTTATTACAGCTTAATAATTTACCGTATAAGATTCAATAACCACGAACATGTCTTTCAATGCTTCGTTGAAATTACAGTTAGTAATTGTTGGATGATGTATGTATTTATAAGTTACTATGAAAATGAAGCTATCACAAGTACCAAACTTTGATATCATAATCACAAGTATACATAATGCTATGTTTGATGAAAGGACATTGACGTTAAAAATTACGGAAAAGAGAGTCTACATCGGTCGGTTGGAGAGGGGAACAATTTTCTTTATAAAAATGTGGAAACCTCCCGACAGTTTTAAAAACCTTGAAGAAAAGCCCGAAGAGAAGTTAGCAGTAGGCTTGAGCTGTTACAAATGGTATCGTAGCCAAACACGAGGCGATATGCCAGCGAGGAGGCTGAAACCCGAAGGGAGGTGAACGCAGTGTGCCAGCAAAAACGTTAGCCCCGAGTGTTAACGAAAACGCTGGACCCTATAGGGGGTGGATGCAGTGTATCAGCAAAACACTGGCCCTGAGAACTAACGAAAACGCTGGATCCTAAGGGAGTAGAATCATGAGACCCCACATCGATGAGAGAGGAGAACGAAGTATTTTTTTGTCAGAGTGTGAAAACTTCTCCCAAGCGTTTCAAAAACGTTTGCAAAAACTTCCACTGAGTAAAGTTTGATGAGTTCAACCACGGAAATTTGAAATTTTGACCTTGTAGTTGATGACTTATAAATTAAGTCGTATACATTACCAGATACAAGAGTTATCGAGTAAATGAGAGATGAACTTACGCGTCATAAGGCTTGCAATTGAAAAGAGTCGGAGAACAAACATGAATAATCGAGCTCTCTCCTTGCTTGAGCCCAAATTTGAAGTGATATTGCGTTTGTTTCTCTCCTGCAACGATGTAAAACTGTCAACCACATTGTATGCAACCTCTTCTAGTGATTTCTTGAACCAAAACCCTTTAGCCTGCAAACCAGCAATCCTCCAAAGACAATTAAAAGAGAAGCTACTTTGCCTATAAACTTATTGTAATGTTCCAACCAGGATGTTTAGTTTCTAAACAAACATTTTAAAGAGTTTGCAATGCATTATTAGTCTCCAAAACAATCTAGCAATCTATACAAAGCTATCTAGATCTATTAATAGAAAAAGAAGAAACACAGCAACAAGCCAGAAAAATAGCTCAATTTAGAAAAGAAAAGCCCCCTGAAAACAGGAAGAAGAAAATGTAGCAGCCCTGCCGTGTCCTTCCTGCTCCTGCTGACCCTAAATCTTGTAACCTATCAAAATCAAGCGACGTTGAATAAGGGTTAGAAGCGGGAACGGATAACTTGGTTTTCTGGCCGATGAGGACGCTCTAACTAGTTTCCTGTTACATGCAACTTCTTAAACATGGTCCTGCTCTTGTATACTGGCAACTAAAACACTGCAAAAAGATTGAAAGTTGATAAGTAAAACTCCTCAACATAGACATTTTGCATTCATTGGCAAGAGTCGTTCCATAGTCCAAATTCTATGTGCTCCTCCAGGTTAAAAAACTGGTCATAACTACTGAGATATTTATATTTATCAATGTTGATCGGAAAACGAAGACAGTCGATGCACTAAGCCTTTCAAGTTTCTATGTATTTCTCTGCATCCACGTGTGCGTGTGCGTGTGCGCGTGCGCGTGATTCTTATACGTGGTAAAAAGAAATTGAAAAACTCACATTAAGCGAAGGTATGCTCAGCACCCAAATTAGTCTGAATTCTAGCATCTCCATCATTTTCTTTTGGATCCAACCCTGCTGAAGATTCTGCAGTTTCTAATATCTCTTCCATCAGTTTTTCATGTTTGTTCTTCAAGTCTGAAGAATCCAGTGCAGCAGCAAGGCTCTGCTTTATTTGCTGCTCCAAAGCCAAAATTTTGTTTCTTGAGGTTGTATCTGGTGTCTTTCCAGCCTTGGCTACCTCAAGTTTCAGTAATTCAATCTTATCTTTTAGATCTGTTCTGCTTGCAACGCTTTCAATTCCCTGATTAATTTCCTCATTCAACTCTTTTATCTTTGGTTTGAACAGAGACAATGAAGCCTGCCCGCTTAGGCCTTCTGCTTTTGACGTTAGTACCTCAACATCTAAACCCAAGGACTTGAGGGCATCCGACAACTCCCCTTGTATTTCCATCTTTACTTTATCAATTTTCTTTTGCAGTTCGGGGTCCAAATTCATATATGTAGATGCCCCTGAATTTGCGATTTCGGCCCTCAGCGCTTCATATTTCTCCCGTACATCAGATCGACCCAGAACCTCTGCAAATTTTTTGTTGATTTCCTGCTTCAATGGGGTCTCCTCCTTAACATCCTTAACTGAGAGAGCCTTGGATTCAGATAAATTCTTTAGCATTTCGAGTTTATTCTTCAGATTCTCGTAGTTGGGAGCTTTAGACAGCCCCCGGTTGAATTCATCGCTAAGCTTCTCGATTTTATCTTTCAATGCTGGTTGGATAAGTCGGTCCAGTGACTTTGCTTTTGAAAATTCTTCTCGCAGCGCAGCAAGCCTGTCCTTTAAGCCCATGGCCTTTACTGCCTCAGAAAATTCGAAATCAACTTCTTTGTTTAATTTTTCAATCATCTTATTCAGATCTAAATCTGAATTCCCAATGGAGGATTCCTTAGCTTTCACTGATTTTTGTTTCACTTTTTTCACCTTAGTCTCCGGTTCCTGAACTGACTTCATTCTAATGGGTTTTTCCTTCTTTTTCATGTTAACTTTCCTTTTTCGCTCGATTGGAATGCCTTCTTGAAACCCTCCAATTTTACGGAATTTCAGCATTCGATGCTTCAATAGTTCTTCCGTGTCCATCTTCAAAAGCTCCTGAAAGACGCATGCAGAAAATTCATTAATGTATACGCTACAATGAGAACGACCAGGTTTCATTATTTTAGAAAAAGTCAAGGACCTACATCCATGGTCTCATTTATTGCAATCTTTATTTGTTGCGAGGTCCAAGCAGGATCTGCATGCGCGCCACCCAAGGGTTCCTGTGAACAACAATGCTTAAAATTATTATAGGTACAAAATAATCTTTGGAAAGAAGAAGGGGAAAAGAAACAGACCATCTTCTATCAAAGTAATAACATATGCAAAGAGAGCCTCAACCTGAGGCTAAAAGAAGTTACAGAGAAGCTTCAACTCAAAGTTAATACAATGCACGATGACAGTTGAAAATATTACGAGTTCAGGTGTTTTCTTTTTTTTTTTTTTGTTTTTACGATAAGAAACGAGGAACATATGATCAAAACAATAAGATATAAGAGGAAAGCCTCAGTTCAAGTCAGTTTAGACCTGCAGTTACTACGGAAGGGGAAAGAAACTAAAAATACAAATTAATTAAACTAAGAAACGTTTGGATAGTATTAAATGTTTAAGCCTTAAGGTATATAGTTTGATATTATGAATATTGTTAAAGGAAAAACAGCGAATATTTTTTAATAACAAGCATATAGCATTCAACACAAAAACAAGGATGTGCCCTAGCATATATGTAACTACACTCATTTCTAAGCAGGCATAAACGGTGTCAGAACTGGAAAGAGGAACAGACAAGAAAGGAATCAAGAACTAAGAAAAGAACATGGAATATCAAGATATGTGAAGGACAGTGTCGTTACAGGGATAATGCCATCGGCAATTTGTAATTTGCACAACTCTGGTGCAGTAATTTTTAGCTTCTCTGCTGCCTGCAAATAACAAATATATCTCAACAAATATATATAAACCTCTAAAAGAGGATACTAAGGGTTGAATGTATAAGAACCTGTGGAGAAGCTTTTGCACTTTTCCACAAGATTGCAGCACAGGCTTCAGGACTAACGTATTTGAAAATTAAACGGGTTATTGGTAAATCAGCAGAATTTACAATGAAATAATAGTGAAGTTGTCTTAATTTACTAAAAGAGTAGGCATGAAATGCACCTGGCGACGTAGAAAACTGCACTTTCGAGCATGAGCAACTTATTGGCACAACCGATTGCCAGGGCACCGCCAGAGCCTCCTTCTCCAATGACAATTGAAATGATTGGTACCTTGAGACCAAACATAGTCCTCAAATTGTGAGCAATAGCCTCACCCTGCAAATTTATGAAGCAAATCAGTTCTCCAGATAAAGGAAGAGCTCCATGAAAAAAGAATATTTTGTTTTTCATACTTGGCCCAGTTCCTCAGATTTGAGGTCCGCAAATGCACCTGGCGTATCAATGAAAGTAACAATTGGGAACCCGTGGTGATCTGCGTAGTACATCATGCGAAGTGCTTTCCGATAACTGTTAGGAAATAAGTAAAACTAGTAATCAGGATTAGATATCTAATATCCCAACTTCAAATTCTCCAACAAGCTCGGATTCGACAAGGAGTAATTCATATTCCTTTCTACTTCAAAACATGCATAATGTTAAATCTAATATAGAACATGTTTCTCCATTACTAAACATACCCGTGCGGAGTAGGCATTCCAAAGTTCCGCTGAATATTTTCTTTTGTGTTTCTACCCTTTTGGTGACCCATGAACATGTATCTTCTCCCATCAATGGTTCCTATGCCAGTAACAATAGCAGGATCGTTGTACCCTAACCGATCTCCATGAAGTTCAACAAACTGTAAGACAGAGATGTAGAAAATATTTCTTGCATAAAAATTACCAAATCCACAATCCAAAATTTTCATCACAGTAAAAAAACCACAAAACCTTTTCAGTGATATTGAACACGTGATCGAGGAAAGTTGGCCTGTTAGGATGTCGAGCTATATTAACACGTTGTATAGGAGTCAGATGAGTGTATAAATCCTTTAAAGCCTGAAACCAACAACGAGAAGCAGTCAAGTTCATTGAGGAAAATTTATGTGAAAAAGATCAAATTTCAACACTTCAAATTGGAATAAGAACTCCGTTAATAGTAATAACAAACCTGTTGATATTTATTTTCTAACGAAAGAATCTGATCACTGAAGTCTAGACCAGTTTCATGAGCCATTTTCCGCACCTACATCCAGAATGAAAAGACAATCATTGCCAAAGATAGTGAGAGATGCACAATCAGAAGATGCAACTAACACTCGTAAGGAGAGACTAACATCGATAATCTTCTTTTCAAGAACAACAAGTGGTTTCTCAAAATCAAGAGTAACCGGCTTCTGCTTCTCTTTCAGAGGCTTGAAATGTGAGAGATGAGTAAGAACTCCACCCTTGACATTCTCATCCGCATCATCCGGCCATGGATACTCGTGCTTCTTACCCTTCCTTAACTTTGCACTAACTGAAATGGCTTTCCTTCCTGGGTTTAATCGCGCTCTTCCCAGAGCCCTCAAAGGGATACCACTAACGCCATTACTCAAGCTTCGAAGAAGATCAGACGCCGAAGTACCAGATAATGCCGCTGAAAGAGTAGAAATAGACGCCATTCTCTTCTCCCAATCTCAATCTAACTACTTTTTCAGCTAAACCCACCAATGAGATCTCTAACAATCAATACAACGCCTTTAAAATTATAAATCTGAAAACATAAACCAAAGGAATGCATAAAGATTAGGAACAGTCCCCCTACTCCATGAAAACACGACAAAATGTGACAATTACTCAGAAAGCGAAAAAGAGAGAAAAAAAAAAAAAAAAAAAAAACCCTTTTGGGCTTACTCAAATGCGGCCCATTTTCACTAAGAGGACCCGATTTGGGCTATAGTGAAATGAGGCCCAATATCAGTTTGATAATCTCCAGAGTCTGATAGGAAGCCCATCCCTAGGAACTGGAAATGGGCCATGCTCAATCCCATCTTTCTGTCCTGCTAATTCCCACCTGCAACCAATCATATTTTTCAATCAATTAAAATATTTATAATATATATTTTCATGATTTAGAAGGATAAAAAGGAGAAAAAAATAAGGACCTGAATTTGGTGACTAAATGGTGGATCATGATCAAGATTTCAAGCTTGGCAAGGTCATTACCAGGGCAGGCATGGACCCCACTGCCAAATGGAATGAATGTATTGGGCCTTGGAGCAACCTGATAGAATCAGATCCCTCTTTTTAGTTACAAAATATTGAAAAATTAAAAATTAAAAAAAAATAATAATAAAATAAAATATTGGGGTAATTGAAATATACCTCAAATCTTGAAGGATCAAATTTGTGAGGGTGTAGAAAGTAGTCAGGATTGTGATGAATATTCCTGAACAAAGGCATTACTTTCCAANAAAAGAAAAAAAAAAAAAAAAAAGAGGAAATGCAAACGAAGCTAACAGTTCAAAAAACAGAATCTCATAAAAAAGCACCGATCAACTCAACATCAACCAACCAAATCCATCAATCATCTGAGATTTAGAAGAATTCAAATCCAATAACAAAAAAGAACACAACGATTCAACAAATCCCACTTCCAAACCAACGCCATTTCCCCATAAAAGCAGCACAATCAGTCAATTACAAACTTAAATTCATCAATGCATCAATCCAAATCAAGGCCTCACGAACAGAAAAACACAACTCCCATGGAATTACAGAAAAGAAACAAAAACATTCATAGCTCATTGTCTTAAAAATTACCCGAAATTGGCTGCAAAAGCCGTGAGATCCCGGAGGAGAGGTGCCAAAAAGGATCTAAAACCTGAAGAAACGGGAAGATGGGTGCGTTAAAGCATTGAAGATGAGCAATCTAGCAAGAGATCGTCACAAACGAGGATCTGTCTGTGTGTCCCTTAGAGAGAGAGAGAGAGAAGAGTAGCGATACTTCAGGTTTGATTCAAGGTTTTTATATATACCGATGAATAAAAAAATATTTTCAAATAATAAAGTTAAAATTGTATTATATATTTAAATTGGAAGACTAAAAAAATTATATATTTAAATTGTCTGAAAAGTTATAGATTTAAAAAAAATTATTTTGTTTATTATAAATTTATTTTTCATATATTGATTAATTACTTTTAATAATATAAAATAAACGAGTAAATTATAAAAATGTATTAAAAGAAATGAGATCAATATATCATTTTTATACTCCTAAATAGGATGGAAATAGAATTTATCTCAGGTTGGGGGCAAAATTGGAAATTATGAAAAAGGCTCGAGCTCGAACACGTTGACAAAAAACACGCTTGCCCTGCATGTGCGTTCAACACCAACATGTACTCGTTGTTCATTGTGTAGAGATCTTGGTAGAGCAAAACCCGATAACCCCTCTCCTATGAATACTACAAATTTTAATTATATTAATTCAAATTAGGTTTACTAATCTTTACCAATTATAAACCTACCAATAGAATTCAATGTAGCTTATTTATTTAAACAATATAGACGTAAGTTATAACTCCTATTTTACGATTTTTTTTCATAACACTTATTTTGAAGTATTTATACCGACACAGATTCTTTTAGCATGTTTTGTCCTCACTCACATGTTTGCGAGAAAAATTATCTAAAAATCGCATAATTTAAGGTTGTTTAAAGCTAAAAACATGTTTTAATTATGACAAAAGAATTAATGAAAAAAAATATTAAGAGTAGGATTATTTTTATTTAGATTTAATATTGAGTTTTTTTTTTTTTTTTTTTTTTTTTAAATACTCTTTGGAATATTCAAACCATCATTCTCAATAGAAGATGGGTGGGGTTTAGGTGGTGAGTAGGTTATTGTGTATGCTATTTATTTTGATGGTTTCGAAAATGAATATTGCACCGCAATTTTGAATGACACATTTTTTAAATTCTAATAATAACAATAATAGTTATAAGGTTATTATATTAGGGGAAACATTTAATCCGACAATCCGACAACTCGGACCAACCCAACTGAACTAGAAGGGTTGGGTTGAGTTGGATTATCATTTCGGGTAAGGTTGGGTTCCTTTTCTGAACCCGAACTTAATCGGCTCGGTTTCGGGTTCATGGACAAAACCTTTGGGTTGACCCGAGCAAAAAATAAATAAATAAATAAATATATATATATATAATATAATATTAAGAATGTTTTCGTATTAATGAGTTTGCTAGAGTGGTACTGAGGCTGGTTCAGGGAAACTCATGTCTTAGTTCGATGCTAGACAAATAAAATGTCGGTATTTAGTTTTATGACAATGTTGAACTATGTTAATATATTACAATTTTCGTTCGTTTTTTTATTGAATTTGTTTTTTTTTTTTCTGGGGTTGGGTTCTGAAAAGTTTCGGGTTGGGTTGGGTAACAATCCAATCAACCCGACCCAACCTGGACCATATACACACCTAATTATTATTAGCAGTATTATAATTATTATAAGCTTATGCTTATATATCCGTCTTTCATGTTGACATTCTTATATATTATATCTTAGCATGTAGATCGTAAGACAACCTAATATAACAAATCTGTACTTGCTTACATAACTTTACATACATGTCGATTTTCTTATGTCGGAGCCATGCTTAGAGATGTCTATGGGGCTGGGTACTCTGTGGACAAGAAGCTTCTCGTTCCCATTCCCACCATCTATTTTATTTCTCATCCTTGCGAAATTCTCTCATTTACTTTTGCAGGGATCGAGGTGTAAATACCGCTCGAAGAATTTGCAGGAATCGAGTTCCTTGCAGGTAATTTTTTATTTATTATTCTTTTAAAATATAATTATTTTAAAATTTTCATTTTTAATATAACATTTATTAAAAAATGGTAAAAAATCTTAATAAATCAATATATTTCCTAAGATAATTTTTAAAATTCAAGTTTGAATATTATAATATAATTTTAATTTAAATCTTAAAATAAGAATAGTAAAATTAACTATTTAATCTTTTTAAATATATACGTGTACATGGGGCAGGGATTTGGGCGTGTCAGTGGCACGGGTTTGAATCCGGTCATTCTATATTTTAGCTTCTTTTCATTCCGTGTGTCAGAGTGGTTATGAGGTGAATTATGCCGCTCACAACTTGTTTTACACAAAAATCTATTATACATTAAAAATAAAATTATATTTTAGTTTCTTTCATTTAGTGGCATGTCAAAATGTTAATGGTATAACTAGAAGTTATGTGGGCTTTTTGTCGGGTAGGTTTGAATCATGCTACGAATTGTTTTGCACAAAAGTATATACCGATTTGTTTTGCACAAAAATCTACATTTAAAGTTAAAATTATATTTTAGTTCTATTCATTTAGTGGGCGTGCTAGAGTAATTATTTGGGCGCACTAGAGTCGTTATCGGGCAGGACTAGAAATCATTTGGGTTCAAGTTCGAATCTTGTTGCACTTCTCTTTTGCACAAAATTTACTTAATCTCGAATCCTACTACTCATGATTCTTGTGCAGGTTCGAATCTTGTTGCTCTTGACTTGTATTTATTTTAGCTCCTTTTCATTTAGTGGGCGTGACAAATTCTCATGCTCATGAATTGGACTTGTGTTTTTCATTCATAGGTGTGCCAGACCGGTTATCATGCATGCCTAGAAAGGTGTTTTTCATTCAGTGGGTGTGCTGGAGTGGTTATTAGGCATGACTAGAAATTATGTGGGCAAATTTGAATCCTGTCGTTTTTTTTCATTTAGTGGGCGTGACGGAATGGGCATGACTTGAAATCTCAAATCCTACTACTTAGGACTTTGACATGTTCTGCTTTTCATTCAGGGGGCATGTCGGAGTGGTTATCGAACATGATTAGAAATCATGTGGGCTTTGTCCGTGCAGGTTTGAACCCTGTTGTGGCGTGGTGGAATGGTTATCAGGCATGACTAGAAATCTCGAATTCTACTGCTCACGACTTCGACTTGTTGTACTTGAGGGGTTATCGGGCATGACTAGAAATCATGTGGGCTTTGCCCGCATAGGTTAGAATCCTGCCACTCATGACTTATATTTTTTTTAGCTCCTTTTCATTTAGTGGGTGTGGCGGAAGGGTTATCGGGCATAACTAGAAATCTCAAATCCTACTGCTCATGACTTCGACTTGTTGTGCTTTTCATTTAGTTGGAGTGCCGAAGTAGTTATCGGGCATGAAATAATGTGGGCTTTGCCTGTGGAGGTACGAATCCTGTTGCTCACGAGTTATATTATTTTTAGCTTCTTTTAATTTAGTGGGCATAACTAGAAAGCGTTAACGACTAGAAATCTTGAATCCTACTGCTCAGGACTTTGACTTGTTATTTCTTTAATTAAGAGGGTATGCCAGAGTGGTTATCAGACATGATTAGACATTATGTGGGCTTTGCCTGCGCAAGTTCAAATCTTGTTGCTCATGACTTGTATTATTTTTTATCTTCTTTTCATTTAGTGGGCATGACTAGAAATGGTTATCGGGTATGACTAGAAATCTCGAATCCTACTGCTGAGGACTTCGAATTATTATGCTTTTCAATTAGTGGGCGTGCCGGAGTGGTTATCGGGCATGACTAGAAATCATGTGGGCTCTGCCCGCGCAGGTTCAAATCCTGCCGCTCACGACTTGGATATTTTTATCTTGTTTTCATCATTTAGTGGGCATGGTTGCATGACTAGAAAGCACACACGACTAGAAATCTCGAATCCTACTGCTCAGAACTTCGACTTGTTGCACTTTTCAATCAGTGGGTGTGCCGGAGTGGTTATCGGGCATGACTAGAAATCATATGGGCTTTGCCCGTGCAGGTTCGAATCCCGCTGCTCATGATTTGGATTTGTTTTATCTTCTTTTCATCATTTAGTGGGAATGGTTGCATGACTAGAAAGCGCACACGACAAGAAACAAGAAATCTCGAATCCTACTGCTCAGAACTTCGACTTGTTGTACTTTTCAATGAGTGGGCGTGCCGGAGTGGTTATCGGGCATGACTAGAAATCATGTGGGCTCTGCCCGCGTAGGTTCGAATCCTGCCGCTCACGACTTGTATTTTTTTATCTTCTTTTCATCATTTAGTGGGTACGGCTGAATGGTTGCATGAATAAAAAGCACGACTAGAAATCTCAAATCCTACTACTCACAACTTTAAAATATATGGGCTTTGCCCGCGCAGGTTCAAATCTTGTCACTCATGACTTGTATTAATTTTATCTTCTTTTTTCATTTAGTGTGCATGACTAGAAATGGTTATCGGGCATAACTAGAAATCTCGAACCCTACTGCTCACGACTTCTACTTATTATGCTTTTTAATTTGTGGGTGTGCCGGAGTTATTATGGTTATCGGGCATGACTAGAAATCTCGAATCCTACTGCTCACGGCTTCTACTTATTATGCTTTTTTAATTTGTGGGCGTGCCCGAGTTATTATCGAGCATGACTAGAAATCTTGTGGGCTCTGCCTGCGTAGGTTCGAATCCTGCCGCTCACGACTTGGATCTCACGGCTAGAAATCTCGAATCTTGCTCACGACTTTGACTCTTTTGCCTGCGCAGGTTCGAATCCTACTGCTCAGAACTTCGACTTGTTGTACTTTTCAATCAGTGGGCGTGCCAGAGTGGTTATCGGGCATGACTAGAAATCATGTGTACTCTGCCCGCGCAGGTTTGAATCTGCCGCTCACGACTTCTTTTCATCATTTAGTAGGCATGACCGAATGGTTGCATGACTAGAAAGCTCTCACCACTAGAACTCTCGAATCCTGCTCACGACTTCGACTTGATGTATTGGAAATCTAGAATCCTACTGCTCACGACTTCGACTTATTGTGCTTTTAATCAATGGGCGTGCCAGAGTGGTTATCGGGCATGGCTAGAAATCATGTGGGCTCTACCCGCGCAGGTTCGAATCCTGCCGCTCAGGACTTGTATTATTTTTTATCTTCTTTTTCACATTTAGTGGGCATGACTAGAAATGGTTACCGGGTATGACTAGAAATCTTGAATCTTACTACTCATGACTTCGACTTATTATGCTTTTCAATTAGTGGGCGTGCTGGAGTGGTTATCAGGCATGACTTTAAATCATGTTCGCTTTGCTGTCGTAGGTTCAAATCATGTTGCTTAATACTTGTGTATTATTTTTATCTTCTTTTTTCATTTAATGGGCATGACTAGAAATCTTGAATCCTAGCTCACGATTTCGAATTACTATACTTTTCAATTAGTGGGCGTGCCGAAGTGGTTATCGGGCATGACTAGAAATCACGTGGCAGAATTGTTATTGGGCATTATTAGAAATCTCGAATCACGACTTTGACTTTTTGTGGTTTTCATTCAGTGGGCTGCCTCTCACGTCTTGTAATTTTTTTAGCTTCTTTTCATTTAGTGATCATGATAAAACGGTTATCGGAAATGACTAGAAATCTCCAATCCTACTACTCATGAGTTCGACTTGTACTTTTCGTTGTACTTTTCATTCGCCAGAGTTTTTATTGGGCATGACTAGAAATAGCTTTGTTCGGGCATGTTATTTTGACTCGTTGTACTTTTCATTTAGTGGGGGTGTTGGAGTGGCTTTCAGGCAGGACTAGAAATCATGTGGGCTCTACTTGTGCAAGTTTGAATCCTTCCACTCCCGACCTGTAGTTTTTTTAGTTTCTTTTCATTTAGTGGGAATGACTAGAAATCTCGAGTCTTACTGCTCACGACTTCGACTTGTTGTACTTTTCATTCATTGGGCATGTTAGAGTTGTTATCGGGCATGACTAGAAATCATGTGGTCTTTGCCCGCGCATGTTCGAATCTTCGAATTGTGCCACTCATGACTTATATATATTTTTAGCTTCTTTTAATGAGCGGGCGTGACGGAATGGTTATCGCGCATGATTAGAAATCTTAAGTCCTACTGCTCATGACTTCGACTTGTGCTTTTCATTCAGTGGACATGTTAGAGTGGTTATCGGGCATGATTAGAAATCATGTGGGCTCCCGTGCATGTTCAAATCCTGCCGCTCATAACTTGTATTTTTTAAAACTTTTTTTCATTTAGTGTGCGTGATGAAATTGTTATCGGGCATGATTAGAACTCTCGAATTCTACTGCTCACGACTTCGACTTGTTGTGCTTTTCATTCCGTGAGCGTGTCGGAATGGTTATCGGGCATGACTTGAAATCATGTGGGCTCTGCTCGTGCAGGTTTGAATTCTGTCGATCACGACTTGAATTTTTTTTAGCTTCTTTTCATTTAGTGGGCGTGACGGAATGATTATTAGACAAGACTAGAAATCACGTGTGCTGTGCATGTGTAGTTTTGAATCTTATCATTTGCGAGTTGTTTTGCACAAAAATCTATTTTACATTAAAAATAAAATTATTTTTTAGTTTGTTTTCATTCTTGAAAGTGTTTCAAAGTATTATTTTTTAGCTTATTTTCATTCTTTGAGCGTGCCGAATAGGTTATAAGTAATCTATTTTACATTAAAAATAAAATTATTTCTATTTTACATTAAAAATAAAATTAGGGAGCATTTCAAAGTATTTACCGAACTGGTTATCAGACATGACTATAAGTTACCAAGCATGACTATAAAAATCATGTGGACTCTGCCCGCACAGGTTTAAATCCTAGCTCACGACTTAAAATCATGTTGGCTCTGCTTGCGTGAGTTGTTTTGCACCCTCCACGTCTAAAGGGAACCCCATTCGAAGTGAGTACGCGAAGAGACCCAGCCTCATACGTAAAATAAAAATTTCTACAAAAAAATTCCATACTATAATCGTCAATTATGTAATACTCATAAGATAACTGCCCGATACAAAACCATTAACATGAACTAATCGAATATATATTTTTCTTTAGCCAAAACTCTATCCTTTTGTAATTGAAAATACCAACAAATTGAAGCTTCATAGATCCAAGCCAACTAAAAGTTAAAATCATGGGTCAACAATCTCTGAAAATTCTAATATTTTGTTTGAGGATGTTTGAGCAAATATGGAATAAAAAATGACATAAATTTAATAGAACAGAGAATGAATGAGTTTGGGAAAGAATCTCAGTCTGAGGATTGCTTTCAACTTTTATTCTCCTCCCATGGAAGATGCAAAAGCTTTGATCTCATCAATGGAGGAATCAGCAAATAAAGTAAACTCTTCATGTAAAGTGGCTTTTATTCTCTAAGCAAAGAAGGCTGAAAAGGGGAGCAATCTGATTCCGCAACCCCACCAAATAGCTTAAGATGAAGATTCTAGTTTTTTCACAAACTTCTTGGCCTGTAATACAACAAATGATTCATTTGATAAGATCTCAATGGATTTTCAATGTCTTCTCCTCATTTTTGGTTCTGTTCTGGAGTAGAACACGAACAAGAACAAAACAACAACGAGAACAAGAGTTTGGTTATATTTGAGGTTTCTGATTTTCAAAAACTGGGCTACTATTGAAAACTGAGAAATATGTTTATACTCTTGAGAAATTCTTAGAGATGAACAATCTGACATCTAAAGTGTCGAGCGGAAAGGAAGTACCTGTTCTAGAGTTAGGAACATGATAACATTCCATGATCCTAGCCGTCCGAAATTCGGGATAAAGCCCTTGTAAAACGCCAGAGGTCCCTGCAAAATGTAATTCCCAGATGGTATTACGATATGCAAATCCCATGGTAAAAGGCAGATATTGGGATGATAAGAAACTGTTAAAGAATCACTATAAGTGTATGAAAACATACATCATTTCTTAAAGTCTTGATGAAACAATCAAGTGTGCTTTTGTAAGTTGAATCCCCCATCATTCTTGACTTCACCTGCCAAAAAAAGGTATATGACAACGTGCGAATGACTCCGATTCTCCAAAAGAAGGCCGTGCAATAAAAAATAATCAGTGTGCTTTGTTAGGAATCACGAATTTCCACAATGGTTTGATATTATCCACTTTGAGCATAAGTTCTCATGGGTTTGCTTTTGGTTTCTCCAAAAGGCCTCATACCAATGGAGATGTATTCCTTACTTATAAATCCATGATCTAAATCCATGATCAACCCCTTAATTAGCCGATGTAGGACTCCTCTCTCAACAATCCTCCTCTCGAACAAAGTATACCATAGAGCCTCCCCTGAGGCCTATGGAGCCCTCGAACAACCTCTCTTTAATCGAGGCTCGACTCCTTCTCTGGAGCTCTCAAACAAAGTTTACCCTTTGTTCGACACTTGAGTCACTTTTAACTACACCTTCGAAGCACACAACTTCTTTGTTCGACATTTGAGGATTCTATTGACATGACTAAGTTAAGAGCATAGCTCTGATACCATATTAAGAATCACAAACCTCCACAATGGTATGATATTGTCCACTTTGAACATAAGCTCTCATGACTTTGCTTTTAGTTTCCCCAAAAAGCCTCATACCAATGTATTCCTTACTTATAAACCCATGATCAACCTCTTAATTAGCCGACGTGGGACTTCTCTCCCAACATGCTTTTCAGTTACCATGAACCAGCATGAATTGTTTCTATATATATTCAAAAGAGTGTGACACCAAAAAGTTATAAAATGAAGACACCAAGAAAAAGGGGACATGGCATGGATATAGAGAGATTACCACATCGACTGGGGAGCCAATACAGACAGCGAAAAACCCTGCTCCAAGACCAGAAAGCAGATGAGTCAAAACATTATCTGTGAAACCTGGAATTTTCAAAATTGTCTGCAGAAAAACATAGAGTAAGATAAGAATCAGCAAAAAAAAGACCCCAAGATTAGTTCTACAAAGATAAATTTCCAACGATTTTACCTGTTTCACTTGATCGTAGCTGGCTAGTTCTGCGGCATTTATAATAGCATTTCTTGCAATATTCGGTCCAATGCCAGTCCATAGAGCTCCAACTCCTTCCTATATGTTATATACAAATCGTAACATGGAAATGATAATACATTTTCCTTGATCCTGAGGTTAAATAGCTAACCTGTCTAACAATGGTAGAATAAGCATTCAATGCCCCTGAATAGCGCCTAGGCACGCCAGGAGGTAACTTTCCTTCTGCTTGAAGTCTAACTTTCACAAGATCAGTTGGATTTGCTACTGTGATCCCTATAGCACCTGTTAACGAAGGACGAAAGGAAAATGAGTTCATTTTACTTTAGCACACAAGCAGTAGAGGGGTTTGTCGGAAGAGGAATGCTATCGAGTACAAGCATATTCTGTCGTGAAAGAGTGCAGTGTGTGGCTCGATTAAGAATTTGCCAATCCTTTTCCTTCATACATGTTCTATTTGCTGATATTGTTACTATTTTCTACTTGGAGAAACTCCTGATCTTCAAAAATTCTCCACCATCCTCAACAAGAAATACATGCATTAACGCTACAAACAAATACATGAACTATTACGCGTGCAATCATGGATTCGAGAACAAACACTACGTGCAGCACAAAGTCAAATCCATGCTCACCAGTTGTCAGTGCAGCAAGAATCTTCTTAGTCAAAGGAACATCACCAACAAAGTCACTGCCCACGTAAAAGTTCTTAACCTATGATGTAAAATCAATATACAAGTTTGTGTTAGATATGAGCTAAAAAGACAGAACAGTAGGCATAGAGCCTGGACTTCAAAAACTTACAGGCTCATACAACCCAATCCTTAAGCCTCCAAACACGCATTGACGATGCAATCCAGGAACAATTCCTTTCCACAGGGACGCCATACCTTCCTCTCTGGCTATGGTTCCAACCGTACCCAGCATACCCCTATATTTCGGTAAGACATCACCGACAACCGCCTTCTTTTGTAGCTGAAGCCTAACCTTGGCAGTGTCTAGAGGAATAGTACATATCTGCATCAATATCAAAAGCAATCCAATTTTAGCCAAACAATCATCTCAGATCATTGAATATCTCAATAGTTTCTCGAGTGCATGACTTAAACA